CGGCATGGCTGAGAGAATCAACGCGCCGCGCCTCAGCCCACGCAAGCCTTCGCAATTCAGCCACCCTATGCAGCTTGGTGACCCGAGGGGCGGGACCACACCAAGCGCTGGCGCCCCGAAGCGCGGGACCACACCGGCAATGATCAGACACCAGGGCCAATCGCCAAGCCTGGTGTCCCGAGATTTGTCCTCCTCCTCCTTTTTCCTCTTGTCTCCTCCTCCTCCTCCACCTCCTCCTCCTCCTCCTCCTCCTTCTCGTCCGCCCCGAGGCTCTCCCCGCGCGGCCCCTCTGCCCCCTCCCCCCGCCGTGTCCGCCAGGCAGGGACCAGCCCGCGTACGTCGTACCGACCACGCCGTCTCCGTTCCTGCGCTCGGTGCCGCCGGCAGCGGGGCGGAGCGAGGGGAGCGAGCAATAGCAAGAAGGAGGAGGAGGAGGCAGGAGGCAGGAGAAGAGAGGAGGAAAGAGGAGGAGGGAGGAGGGAGGATGCGGAGGAGGTAGGGCGGATGAGGTGGCGGTGAGAGGAGGCCGAGGAGGGGGTGAGTGGAGGAGTGGAGGGAGGAGGAGGAATAGGAGGAGGAGGATGAGGGGAAGGAGGAGGAGGGAGAAGAGGAGGAGGAGGAGGAGGGGTAGGAGGAGGAGGAGGAGGAAGAGGAGGCGGAGGAGGAGGAGGGGGAGGAGGAGGGGGAGGAGGAGGGGGAGGAGGAGGAGGAGGAGGAGGAAACACATTAGTAATAATAATAAGAGTAAGAATAAGCATCGTAACCGTACTAATAATAGTAAAAACATATTGAGAAACATCACATACTAATAATCATAATATGAATATTGAACATAATGAGAGGATGAGGAGCAGGAGGAGGAGAAGGCGTAGTTTGAGGAGCAGGGGGTGGGAGGAGGAGGATGAGGAGAAGGATGATGATGATGCTGATAATGCTGATGATGATGCTGCTGAGGAGGATGAGGATGATGCTGATGATGACGACGACGATAATGATGATGATGACCATGATGATGATGCTGCTGATGATGATGATAATGATGATGACCAGCATGTTGCTGCTGCTGCTGATGATGGTGGTGATGATGATGCTGGTGATGATGATGATGATGATGATGCTGATGATGCCGATGATGATGCTGCTGATGCTGATGCTGATGCTGATGCTGATGATGAGGATGATGATGACGATGATGATGATGATGATGATGATGAGGATGATGCTGATGATGATGATGATGATGATGATGGTGATGATGATGCTGATGATGATGCTGCTGCTGCTGATGATGATGATGATGATATGGATTATGATGCTGCGCTGCTGCTGCTGATGATGGTGGTGGTGGTGGTGATGATGATGGATGATGATGAGAGGAGGAGGAGGAGGAGGAGGAGGAGGAGGAGGAGGAGGAGGAGAGGAGGAGGATGAGAGGATGAGAGAGGAGGAGGAGGGAGGAGGAGGAGGATGAAGAGGGGCAGAGGAGTAGGATGAGGAGAGGAGCGAGGACAGGAGGAGAGGAGTAGGATGAGGAGCAGGAGGAGGAGGAGGAGGGAGGAGGAGGAGGAGAGAGGGAGGAAGGAGGAGGAGGAGGAGGAGGAGGAGGAGAGGGGAGGAGGAGAAGGAGGGAGGAGGAGGAGGAGGAGGAGGAGGAGGAGGAGGAGGAGGAGGAGGAGGAGGAGGATGAGGGGCACCCGGGAGTGTAGGGATGTTGAGGAGGAGGTGGAGGAGTATAGGGACAGTGCGGGACAGGAGCGAGGAGGAGGTCGCCCAGAAGGGGAGCCAGCGCAGAGCAACTCTTGGTGAAGGGCGCCCGGGGGCGGGCATCTGGGATCGCAGGCCGACGGTCGTGAGCGTTCCATCTCTGCTTGCTGGCACGCCAGGGTTGGGTGGGCAGTGGGCGGGCCTGGGACGGGGAAGGAGCCAGGCCTGCCCACAAGAGCTGGAGAAGAGGAGGATCGCAGGGCGGGCGAGCTCTGGAGATGTCGCGCCTGCCCATGGCGCTGCGATCGGCCAGGCGCGCTGCTTCTATTGGGCCGCGGCCCAGGCGTGCTCTGAGCCCCCTCCCCCCGCTGTGGCAGCCCCTTGGCGCCGCCGCCTGCAGCTCCTGACTGGGGTGGTCCAGGCGGTAGCCTCCGCGGCCCCGCCGCGTGAGTGCGCCCTCTTTCCCGCCTCCTGTCGCTGCGGCTGGCATTCGCAATGCCGTAGCCCGGGTTGCTCGACGCGCGAGCGGATCGGCTCTGCCGCGCCGCGACGGAAAAGTCTGGGAAAATGTGTGTGTGTGTGTGTGTGTGTGTGTGTGTGTGTGTGTGTGTGTGTGTGTTTTGGTCTCCATGCTTGTTTGTTTGCGTGTGTGTGTGTGTGTGTGTGTGCTCTCTGCGGCAGATCGCTGCCGTGAGTGCGTGGGACTCAGCTTGGCCTGGCCTTGCTTGTCGCTTTTCGAATTCCAGCTTGCACTGGCCACTGCAGCGTGGCCGCTTCGATGTGTGGGTGCACCAGGCTGCCGACGCTAGAAGGTGTGTGCGTGCGTGCGTGCGTGCGTGCGCGCGCGCGTGCGTGCGTGTGTCTGTGTGTGTGTGTGTGTGTGTGTAAGCGTGTGTCTGCGTGTGGCCCCACTCGATGTGGTCAATCAGCTGTGAGCGCGTCCCGCCGTCTCTGTCCTGCCGACTGGAGTCGCCGGCGCGTCGGAAGAGAAAAGCGTCTGCGCGTGGGCGTCTCCTCCCGCGCCTCTTGTCAAGTCGCTGATGGTGCTGCGACCGCCCCAGCGCTCTCTGCAAGCATCCCCTTATCCCTGCATGTGGCAACATTCGAATCACGTGCGTCCTGGCGTTGTTCTCTGGCTGGGGCATGTCCCCACGGCCCGTTGACAAGGAAGGGCTCGTGCAGCGTCCGCAAATTCTTACGCAACGCCGATCGAGAACCTCGAGTCCCAATTACTCATGCATTCGTCCATTCGCTAATCCACCCGGCTATGGATCTGTTCACTCACTCGGTCCGCGCGCTCAGTCAACCCATCCGTCTGGTCTTTCGAGCGTTCACCTGTTCTTTCGTTCAACCGTCCTCTTCCCAAACCGCTCATTTACGTTTTCCCGAACTCCGACCTCTTTCGTGAAAAGTCGCAGGGCAGTGAATAGTCACGACGGGAGCTCTCGGACCCATCTTTCTGCAGTGAGTCTCGGGCCGGATCGTCCTGTTAGGGTCCCGTGCCCCGAAACGGATCGAATCTATTGCCAGTTGTTGTTCACAATGTCGGTGGCTGACAGTGTGTGTGTGGTGTGTGTGTGTGTGTGTGTGTGTGCGTGCGTGTTTGTGTTTGTGTTTCTGTGCGTGTGCTCGCGCGCGCTCGTGCGTGTGTGTATATATATGTAGATTCAGTTTACAGACTTGAGACGACTTCAATTTCTGCTCTAGTGAGCGCGGGGAAGTCGAGGGGCCTAGCCACACATTCAGCATGTGCGTTGCGTAGATATATATTTGTTGTTCGGTCAGGTTGTATCTCTCCTTTCCCCTTGTTCGTCGTCTGCATCTCTTGCTCTCGCCCCGTCTCGTTCCCCGCTCCCATGCAACGCCAGCCTGATGCCTTGCTGCCGTCGCCGCCTCACACCACGCATAGCTTTTCGTGTTCGGAGCCTCCTGTGCAGGAGGTTTAGGGGCCCGCTCAAGGCCTCCGAGGCCGCAGATACGTATCGGTCGCCTGCACAGTTGGATTCTTAGCCCAGTAGAGATTAAAGCCTTCTCTCTGGTCATTCTTGCCTGTCTTCGGTTTGGTTGAGCATCTTTTACAAATATCAAAACGCTACTCGGGTTGTATATCGAGACGCTTTACGATTCAGAGCCTGGCTGGGAGTCTTGGGAGCGAATCGGCGTCAACCCAGGTGGGAACTAACACATCATATCACAAGTGTGTGTGTGTGTGCGCGTGTGTGCGCGCGAGTGTGTGTGTGTGTGTTTGTGTTTTCGGGTAAGTCAAAGGTACCAATACCGCTACTCCCCAGACCTCTCCCAGGGTGCGTTCTGACCACAGTTTCGGAGCGAATCTAGCCGTGGCGACAAGGGCCTCCCAGGAGGCCCAACACGGAGAAAACGAGGCCAGGGCACGGTGGGGACGTTGGATAAACAGTGTGCCCAGGAGGCTTCAGACCCTGAGGGGTTCCTGATCTGATGAGGGCTGCGGTAACATCCATGGCCAATCCGCGATTGATGTTCCACTGGCTTCCAGAGCCTGGATATCTGATCCAAGGGTTCCTTATTCAATGCCCTGTAGCGGTATGGGTACTCTTTCCCCTTTCGAGTCTTGCACGAGCGGCGCAAGTCGGGGGCCTTCGACCGCAGCGAGCTGGGCTCTGCCTGAGCAGGGGCGGCGGTAGAAGCGGTCGCCGACGCAGCAACGACAACCTTGCGCCGTCGCCGTCGCCGAAGAGGGATGGGGAGGAACAGAAGCAAAGAAGAAAAGACGGCATGATTATTTTTTCTTCTGGGGTTCGCACGGATTTCTTGGATCGGTGCTGGGGTTCCCTTCGCGGCGCGTCCAGCGCAGATCCAAGAAATCCAGGCGGACCTTCGATACATTATGCGTATGCTGTTTTTGTTCTCCTAGATGAGGAAGGGAAGAATGAACATGGTCAGGAATATTTGCCTAGCGTGGCACTCTGTCGGTTCTGGCTCACCACTTTCGGCGCGACACGCTGACCACGTCCCAGTTCCCAAGCGTCAACGTCCCGAGCTTTTCCCGGCCTCCCGCCACGCAGTGAGCGACATGCTATCATCTAGCAGGGCACAGCGTGTCGCTGGGGCCGCCGCCGCGGCACTCTAAGCAAACGTTCCTCACCGTGGGGGGAGCAGGGGGGTAGGAAGAGGGAAGAGGGAAGGATGCGGTGGTGGGGGGGGGCCCGGAGCGCGGAAGAGGGCGAGCCTGAAGAGGAGGATGGTGCGGCCGCCCACCCATCGAGGCATTCCCGCCCTCTGCGGTGCCGCCGTTTGGCGCCCTGGCCGGCTACGAGATGGGGCTCCCGCCCGCCTTCGAGCAGGCCGCGCGGGGTTTGTGGGCGAGCCTGGCGCGCCGTCCGCGGCCTGTCCCTGCGCCTCCCAGTCCGCTCCGGCTCCCGCCATCCCGAGAGGAGGAAAAGGCACCGACACCGCTGCTTTGTCGTGGAGGGTCCTCGCCACCGTGGCTGGGTCCTCCTCGACGCTCTGGTCAGGACGCGCCCCGGGAGAGGTCTGGGGAGCAGCGACCTCGGCGCCTTCGTGTCCCCTTGGCTCTGCTCCCACTCCGGAGGAGGCAGGAAGCAGGAGGCGGGAGGCGGGAGGTGCGATAAGGAGGGAGGGAGGGAGGGAGGGAGGGAGGGCGGGAGGGAGGAGGAGGAGGAGGAGGAGGAGGAGGAGGAGGAGGCAGGAGGCAGGAGGAGGAGGAGGAGGCAGGAGGAAGAGAAGGAGGAGGAGAAGGAGGAGAAGGAGCAGGAGGGAGGAGCAGCAGCGATGAGGAGGAAGAACAGGAGGAGGAGGAGGAGGAGGAGGAGGAGGAGGAGGAGGAGGAGGAGGTCCAGTGTGAGCCGAAGACGCATCAACGATGTTGCAGCAAACCCTCTCCCAAGTTTCCTCTTCAGAGGTCCCTACAATATTTTTAGCGGGAAGTGCCCCATTGGAAGACAACTGTCTGAGACTCCTTCACCGTGCCACAACGCACTTCCTAGGACTTCAGTGCCCCGAATCAACGTGACCGTTGCGTCCAGAAAAACCAAAGCCGTGCCATAACAACATTCCCAGGACTTCAACGTCGCGAATCATCGCGACTGTTTCGTCCAGACAAGCCTAAATCGTGTCAGAATACCGTCCCTGGGACTTCAGCCATACGAATCCTTAAAATGGTGGCGAACTTCCAAGACGAATTTGCGCAGCGCGTCGCTAAGGCGAGAGCCACATTTTGAAAAGGAGCCGCCCTCCATCCATGAAGCTGATGCAAACATCTTAAAAACGAATGTGCGCGGCGCCCTTGAGAGAGCTGCACCGCCCGCCTTCCGCGCGTGACGCTCCTGCAATCTGAAGGAAACGAATGTACGCGACACCATGGCGAGAGCCACATGTTGCAAACTACCCGCCTTCATCCTGGAGCCTGCTGCATACGTAATGTTAAGACGAATGTGCGCGGCGCTGGGGCGAGAGCCTCGATGGCCACATTTCGGGAAGCCGCCCGCCCTCCGTCCGTCAAGCTGTTGCAGGCTGTTGCGGCGAAAGTGCGCGGCGCTGGGGTTGAGAGCCACACTGTGAGCACCGCCCGCACTCCTTCCATGACGCTGTTGCGAATTTCCAGCTTCAGGATTACTGACGGTGAGGAGGTCTCAGGCTAAGCACCTGGCCCGCCCTACTGACACGTCTGGGGGAACGACAGGGAAGAGTTGATAACAAGGATCAGGGGTGGAGGAGGAGGAGGAGGATGAGGCAGGAGGAGGAGGATGAGGAGGACGAGGAGGAGGAGGCAGAAAGACGCAACGATCACTGATCTGCGTCCGCGCAAAGACAAAACAAAAGGAAGAGGCAGAGGGCGGGAGGCAGAAGGCAGGATGGGGGGACTCCTCGTCCCGCCTCCTTCCCTCAGGTCTGGGCGCCGTGAGGTGTGGTGGCTAGAGTTTGCCGCCCCGTCCCGGGCCCCAGCGCCCTCCCGCATCGGTCTTGGCATCGACGAGGTGCTGCTGACGGAGGGTAGGGGGGGCCGAGAGCCCTGGCTGCGGCTTGCCACGACGCCCTCGCCTGCTCCGGGCATCGGATCTCAGGGTCAGGCTGATGCTCCCTCTTCCGCTCCCGCTCCTCTCCTACCCCCCCCGCCTGGGAGCAGGAGGACGAGGGCTCCTAGTTTTCTCCGTTTGTATCCCAGTGGTTGACGGCTTGGACGTCTCCCGCCCGCCTCCCCCCTCGCCTGCTTCTCATGCGGGGCGCTCCAGGCAGGGCCCGGCCCTCGAGGAACCCGCGGGCCGAGCCCCCCCGAGGCAGGGCGACGGGCGCCGTGGGCGTAGCAGGAGGGCGGTTCTGCTAACGGCTGCTCGGCTGATGCTTGCGGAGGTAACGTCTGTTTGTCCAACGGGGCCAGGGTCGGCGTGCCTTTTGGGGGGGGGTCCGGAGTTTTTCTTTGAGTCGGCCGCATGTGCCAGGCCTGCTCGGGAACGGCCCCCCCCTGTGGCTCTGGAGCAGCCCCTGCCATCGCAGGCACCTCAAGAGGGTTTCTTCGGATCATGGTGGCCCACCATGGCCGAAGCCAGTACCGATCCAAGATCCGAGGGCCGACTGCGACCCGAAGCCCTGAGGGTCCACTACGACCCCCAAGGGGGTCGTCATGTATTCTGAGATCCCCCAGGTAGTATGATTTTTTCTTCCTGCGCGATCCGAGGCAGAAGTCCCTCTGTGTGCTTCTTCGTGCGCGTACGTTCTCATGCCGTTTCTCTGCCCCTCCCCGCGTCACTTCTGCTCCCGTTCCCCTCCTCGCCGCTCCAGCATCCCGCCCTTCCCCGTTCCGACCCTCCCTTGCGCTCCGAGTCCATCGCTCTCTCCGCCAGGATGGTGACATGGGCATGGATGGCAGCTTCGCTGTCCAACCAGTGGACTGCCGCCTTGCGCTTTCAGCCTTTCTACCTGATGGGTGCTGCTGCTGGAGCTAGAGTCGCCGCCGCCGCTCCCGCATCGTTTTCCAGTTCGTGTGTCCTCATCTTGCTTGCATGCCGCCTAACTTGTAGATGTCCTGTCGGCTGACTTCGGTATGCCATTGTTGATTAGGCTCATGCCAGTCTGCCTTTTGAGCAGTCTTGGGCTGGTCTTAGGGGGCCCCTCGGACTGCCTCTAAGATTTCAGAAGACCGACGCAGCGATAACACTTTTCAATAACCGGAACCCAAACAATGATTTGTGTTTTTTGAGGCCCTATTGGGGGTTTTCTTAGAGCCCTTTCGGGGTGTCCTTTGGGGTGTCTTAAGAGTCTCTTGGGCCGTCTTGACGCCATCTTGGGTGTTCTTGAGGCGTCTCCGGCGTGTTGTAGCTTTTCTTGAGGTGCCTTGGACAGCAACCTGGGCATATTGGGGGCGACGGAGGATGGAGGGTGGACTTCTGGGCTCCGAGGGCCCCGGAGGTGCGTCTGCGAGTTCGTACGGGACCCCCTCCCTTTCAACTATATTTTGGACCCGTAGGGAGGGGGAGAGAGGGAGGGAGACAGCCAAATGTCGCACACTCCCTGTCGCCCCTGGTAAGCGGGTGTCGGCGGATGCTGCTTTGTAGCACGCTGTGTGATTGCATCCATTTTGCCCTTAGCTTGCTCCAGCATTTTCCCCAACCATCCTGTGGTGTTGGATCCTCGTTTTGAAGAGGCAGCGCCCCGCGTCACCTCACCTCCTCCCTCCTCCCCCTCCATGCCTCTGCTCTCATGAGTATGCGTTTCCCCCACGCAGTACAGCGCTTCGTGACCCCATAGGGAGCTCCACCGAAGGCCCCAGTGGCTGCACATGCGTCTCCCCCGCCCAGTATGGTCCCATAGGAAGCTCCACCGAACGCCCCAGTGGCTGCACTCGCATGCATTTCCCCCGCCCGGTACAGCGTTCCGTGGCCCCATAGGGAGCTCCTCCGAGGGCCCCAGTGGCCGTACTCGCATGCGTCTCCCCCGCCCAGTGCAGCGTTTCGTGCCCCCACGGAGAGCTCCACCGAAGGCCCCAGTGGCTGCACCCGCATGTGTCTCCCCTGCCCCGTGCAGCTTTTCGTGGCCCATCGGGACACCGAAGGCCCCAGTGGCTGCACTCGCATGCGTCTCCCCCGCCCAGTACAGCACTTCGTGGCCTCATGCGGAGCTCCACCGAAGGCCCCAGTGGCAGAGTTCGCATGCGTCTCCCCCACCCTGTACAGCGTTTCGTGGCCCATAGGGAGCTCCACTGAAGGCGTTAGCCACAACTGCGGTACTCACAACTGCATATGGTTGGGTCCTTCGCCAGTCCAATTTCGGCTTGCTCTCAGCTTGATTTCACGATCGCCTGTAACCAGCATTCAATTCGCACGGGCACATTCTGAAGCCTGCCGTTATATATAGTACCACCATGCGCATCTTGCTTGTGCCTTGCCATTCGATGGATGATACGTTGTCGCTAGCTTGACTTTCAGCTTGCAGTGAGCTTGACCATAGCATGCTGTGAGCTTGCTTTCAGCATAGTTCCTTCTGGCGTGCGCGTATACTTTTTCCGGCTTGCACTCTGCTTGCAGATTCTTTGGACGCCCCTTCCCAGAAAGGGAAATCCCTTCGTTCGGGCTGCTGGGCTCATTAGTTTGGTCATCCTGTTCCATCCATTCCTGGCTGCTCCATGCTGTCAGCCGCCCTCCTCTGCCTTGCTGTGGTGGCCCTGTGCGGACAGTGCACATGCCCTCCCAGGACATGGAGGGCATGGAGGGCATGGAGGGCATGACGTTCCAGGGCATGCAGTTCCTGCCCGAGATGCGCCCTCCGCAGCCGGAGTGCGAGTGCATGTAGGTAGCAGGGCGAATCTACATCTCGAGATGTAGCCCTGAACGACTCGCGATGCAAACGCGCCCCAGTGAAGGGTCGAGAGACCCCGGGACCCACCGTCTCACTTCTCCTCGTGACACCGTTCCTGCACCGATTCCGTAACGCATGCATGTGTCTCGTTGCCCAGGTACAGAGTTTTTGTATCGGGCTCGGCCGGCTGGGGCAGGCTGCGTGCGCGCGGCAACCGGAGATTGGAGTACTGCCTTGGATCGCGTGTTCTCTGTCCTTCCCTCCCCCTCCCTCTCCAAAAGATTGTGCTCATGAGAAGAAGCCGTTCCTTCAAAAACACATGTGACATTTGAGGATGGAATCGGGAAGAACGGGGGCTGACGGGCAGCGGAGCAGGGAGGTTTGGGAAGCGCAGCGGGCGACATTACGGCAACGACGGCAGGGTCGACAGTCCTGCTCACGATGCCACGAATCATTTCGATGAGTATGAGAGGGTGGTGCTTCACGTCGGCGTGGAGGAATGGTGCATGTCTTGGATCGTGGAGCCATCGGATGCATCATCCTCTGAGTGTTCTATGTCGCTTCGCTGCCCCGGCTCTCTCCCCGAGTGAGCCTTTGTTTCTCCTCCTGGGTTTTCCCTGCCGATCGTCGTCCCTCTGCCACCTGCCAAGCCTGCTCCTGCGGTCACTGCCACCATCGTCGCCTTCGCCTTTGTTGATATTTGCCTCCAGAACTTTCTCTTTTCATGGTTCCCGCCCCGTTAAGCGTGCAGACTGCGAGCAGGCCGAAAGGAACTGGGGAGGAGGGAGGAGTGGGAGGAAGGGGGGACGAGAAAGGATGTTGGAAAGACCACAAAGAGGATTCATGGGGAGAGGAGTGTGGAGGGAGGACTGGGATCGGGACCCTCCCACGTAGCGGCGCAGGCGGTGATGCCCCCCCCCCCCCCCCCTTGCAGGTCGCATCGTGCACCGCTCGGGAGGCGCCACCTGCACACCCACACAGATCCCAGCCAGGCCAGTCCTGGGCCCAGGATCGGGAGGTGCGTGCGCGCGCGCGAGCGTGCGAGCGTGCCTGCGTGCGTGCGTGCGTGCGTGCGTGCGTGCGTGCGTGCGTGTGTGTGTGTGTGTGTGTGTGTGTGTGTGTGTGTGTGTGTGTGTGCGTGCGTGCGTGCGTGCGTGCGTGCGTGCGTCCGTGTGTGTATGTGTGTGTGTGTGTGTGTGTGCACCATCCTGGCCATGCCGGGTGGGCGTGCACACCGATCCCGGGCTCATCCTGGCCAGGATCGATGTGTGTGTGTGTGTGTGGGTGTGGCGTGTGTGTGTGTGTGTGTGGCCGGCGTCCTCCGCCCTGCGTGCCTCGCCCTTGCGTCCAGACCGCAGTGAGTCGAAGAAGACACAGCGCTACAAACATAAACTTTTCGCGCTCCGCGCGGATTTCTTGGATCCGCGCTGGGCCCTCCCTGGCGGCGCCTCCGGCGCCGTCCCTGGCGCGCTCGGCGCGCCAGGGACCGGAGGGTTCCAAAGGAGGTTTGTGGGGAGGGGGTTTTCCAGAGAACCCCATGGGGGCCTCGGAACCTCGTCAAAACAGGGGGTGCGAAGCCCCTGGGGGACTTAACCTGGAACACCCCCTCCCCCAAAACCCTCTTTGGAACCTGCCGGAGGGAGAGGGGCCCAGCGCAGATCCAAGAAATCCGCACGGAGCGCGAAAAGTTTATATGTTTGTGCGTTTGTTTCTTCCTCCAGTGAGGCGGCGCCGTCGAGGCGTCCCAACCCGCCCTCCCTTTTGGAGGTACGACCCGAGCTACGGCCAGTACATGGGCTACGCCTGGGGGGCCATGCCCTCGGCTGGACCCCGACTTGCTACCTCGGGTGTCCCTGTCTGTGCGTCTGCTTCGCTCCTCCTCGTGTGCCTCACGTCTGCATGCCATCTTGTCCGTCAAGGCCTCACGGGGGAGCCAGACGCACGGGTGTTCCTTCCTTCCGGTGGCCACGCGGTGTGTTATGTCAGCAAGGCGTTCGACGTCGTGCACATCCGTGACGTCGTGAAGGAAAACGCTGCTGCGACTCTTGGCTTCGCCTCTGCGACCCGTGTCTTTGTAGCGAGATCGATCCGCGAGAGTCCACGAGCTCGAGGCACGGCGAAAACGACCGCCCTGTTTTCTGTCACGACGCGCGGATTTTCACCGAGCGCGTTCCGCCACTCGCGAAGCGCCTGCTCGCAGACGCTCGAAACACACGTATTTTGCCTCGATGTGATGGATCGTGGATCCCCCGCGGCGGATCCAGGCCATTTTGAGTAGCTACCTTGTGCGAGTACAGTCAACGCGCATAGTAAGGACAAACTACTTTTTCAAGGGTACCCTTGGGTCCTAGCCTGCCTCAGCCTCTGCGGCCCGTCCGTAGCAGTTTTCGCAGGCCAGTTTCTCAGGTTCCCTGGGGGTTTGGCCGCCTGCCGCATACTTCAACTTCGGCCTCCAAGGGTCTTGCGTCCTTACCACGCGTCCATACTATACGTTTTCACTGTAGTGGAACGCGCTTGTCTAGATTGGACGACTCCTGGCTTTCCTGCGTGCTGACGGCCGGACCTCCTGGACCGTCCCCCAAGCGCGTGCGCTCCCCGGCCGTGGCGACGGGCCTCCCCCCCCAACCCCGGAGGCGGGCAGGAGAGGCCTCGAGCTCCCGCTCCCACGTGCCCCCGATGGAGGGGGAGGAGGAATATGAGGAAGACGAGGCAGAGGAGGAAGATGCGAGAGCTGCTGTTGTTGTTGTCGTTGTTGTTGTTGATGATGCTGTTGTTGGTCTTGTTGTTGTTGCTGTTGTTGTTGTTGTTGTTGCTGTTGCTGTTGTTGTTGTTGTTGTTGTTGTGCTTGTTGTTGTTGTTGTTGTTGTTGTTGTTGTTGTTGTTGTTGTTTTCGTTGTTGTTATGGTTGTTGTTATTGTTGCGTTTTTTGCCCTTTTTCGCTAGTGGTTGGTCTCATTCTCGATGTCGCTGCTGTTGTTGCTGCTGCTGCTGCTGTGCTTGTTCTTGCTGTTGTGGCTGTTGTTGTGGTTGTTAGTGTTGCGATGTCCCTTTTCGTTGTTGTTGGTATTATTCTTGATACCGTTGCTGTTGTTGTTGCTGCAGCTGCGGTGTTTGTTGTTGTTTTTGTTGTAGTTGTTGTTGATGCTGTTGTTGTGGTTGTTGTTTTCGTTGTTGTCGCCGCTGCTGCTGTTGTGCTGTTGTTGTTGTTGTTATTGCTGTTGTTGTGTTCTTGTCGTCATCGTGATTGTTGTTGTTGTTGTTGTTGTTGTTGTTGTTGTTGTTGTTGTTGTTGTTGTTGTGCTTGTTGTTGTTGCTGCTATTGTTGTGGTTGTGGTTAATGCTGCTGCCGCGTTTTTCATTGTTGTTGTTGCTGTTGTTGTTAGTGTTGTTGCTGCTGCTGCTGCTTCTGCTCCTGCTGCTGCTGCTGTTGTGTTACTGCTGCTGTTGTTGTTATTGTTGCTGTTGTTGTTGTTGTTGTTGTTGTTGTTGTTGTTGTTGTTGTTGTTATTGTCGTTGTTGTCTCTATTGTAGTAGTAGTAGTAGTAGTAGTAGTAGTAGTAGTAGTAGTAGTAGTAGTAGTAGTAGTAGTAGTTGTTGTTGTTGTCATTGTTGTTGTTGTTTTTGTTGTTGTTGAGTTCTCATTTCTCAAGAATAATTATTGTTGATCTAACCCGGCCGGTGCACATTGTATTTTTTGATTGAAGTGCCCCTCCCGGGGATCGCACCCTGTTTTTATCAAGGAAAGTCTTGAGGCTCAAACTGTGTCGTTGGGCCCCGGTTTACAAGAACAACGGCTTCCGCCTTATACGTCCTCACAATTTATTGAAGAATCGCGCTCTCGCTTGGGACTTCCTGGCAATTTACCACCGAATCGCGGCTCCCGCTTCATATTTCTTAACTTTATTGCAGAATCGCGTTCTCGCTTGGGACTTTATCGCAACATACCAACGAAACGCTTCGCTTGATATTTCCTCACAATTTATTCAGATGCCGGTCCTCGATACTCAGGAATCGCGCTCCCGCTACATGTTGCCTGGCGGTTCAAGCAGGACTCACGCTTCAACGACCCGCCCGCTCGACCCGCCCGTCGGGGCCTGCCCGCCCGACCAGCTCGTTCATGACTGCAGTCGCCGCTCGCTGCCCTTCGCCCGCCTTCGATGCCCCTCGCTGCCCGAACTGGTTCCGCGGTCGCCTTCGCTCGCTGCCCTTCGTGGCCCCGTTGCTGCCCTCAGTGGTTCCGTCGCTGCCCTTTGCGGCCCCGCATTGTATGGCCTTCGTGGCCCCCGCCGGCACGCGCCCGTCGTGGCCCCATACGCACGCCCTTCGTAGCCCCGCTGTCGCCCTTCGTGGCCCCATCGCTGCCCTTCGTGGCCCCTTCGCTGCCCTCAGTGGCCCCGCTGTCGCCCTTTCTGGCCCCGTATACGAATGCCCTTCGTGGCCCCCGCTCGCTCGCGCCCATCGTGGTCCCATATGCATGCCCTTCGTGGCCCTGCTGTCGCCCTTTGTGGCCCCCTCGCTGCCCTTCGTGGCCCCGGTGCTACCCTCAGCGGCCTCGTCGCTGCCCACTGTGGCCTCGGATTTTATGCCCTTCGTGGCCCACGCTGGCTTTTCTCACGATTTACTTGGGAATCGCGCTATCGCTCGAGACCTCCCCGCGATTCGTGCAGGACCCACGCTTCAGCAACTCGCCTGCTCGATCTCGGCGCCTGGGCCCGCCTTCTCGACCTGCCCGGTATGGGTTTGCCCACCCGATCTGCCCGTCTGGTTCTTCCACTTGTTTTCTGCTCCTTGCCCCCCTCCTGCTATTTTCTCTCGTGCTCCACTATTCTCCCTCCCCCTTCCACCCGTCCTCCTTTCCCTGGTTTTAGGGGCTGCGCTAAATGCACGTGGCAGGCCAGGAAGATATACCCCCAATGGGGTACGATCGAAGACGACGAGGGCGGGTACCGAGGGCTTGGGATACACGTATTGGTTAGCACGTGAGCAGATCGGAGCGGACAGTCTTGGACATATTGTTGTCGTTGTTGTTGTTGTTGTTGTTGTTGTTGTTGTTGTTGTTGTTGTTGTTGTTGAACTTTCATTTCTGAAGAATAATTACTGTTGATCCCCCTCCGGTGCACATTGCATGCTTTTGATTTAAGTCCCCCTCCCGGCGCTCGCACCCTGATCTTTATCAGGGAAAGTCTTGAGGCTCAAACTGTGCCCCTGGCCCCCCAGGTTACAACAACAACAACGGCTCCCGCTTGAGACTTCCTCACAATTTAGCCAGGACCCCCGCTCCCACCTGAGACTTCCTCGCATTTTATCCAGGAATCGCGCTCTCGCTTAGGACTTCCTTACAATCTATTCAGGAATCGCTCTCTCGGTGCTCTGGAGTCGCGCTCTCGCTGGAGACTTGCTCGCAATTTATTCAAAAATATCGCCCTTGCGTGGGAAATTCCCGCAATTTACTGAAGCGCCGCGCTCCCGACACTCAGGCACCCAGGAATCGCGCTCACGCTTAGGACTCCCTGGCAGATTACTTAGGAATCGGGATCTCGCTGCCCTTCGTGGTCCCCTCGCTGCCCTTCGCGGACCCGTTGCAGCCCTTCGTGGCCCCCTCGCTGCCCTTCGTGGCTCCGTTGCAGCCCTTCGTGGCCCCCTCGCTGCCCTTCGTGGCCCCGTTGCAGCCCTTCGTGGCCCCCTCGCTGCCCTTCGTGGCCCCATATATGTATGCCCTTTGTGGCCAACGCAGCTCCCCCCAGCTTATGCGAGCTCGCCTGCGATGGGCCAGTCGGAGTGGAGGGCCGACGCTGGCAGCGTTCCTGCGCCCAGGCCAGGTCTAGCCCTCTGACGAACGTCCCTGAGGTTTAGGAATAGGGTCGGGTCGGCCTATTCCCTGGCCTCTCCGAAGCCCGCTCCCTCCTCCTCCTTCTCCTCCTCCCTGCCCCCCCCCCCTCATTCTCATCCTGCCCTCCTTTTCCTGTTCGCCTCCTTCTGTCTGTCGATCTCTGCTTCCTTTCCCCCCCCTGCTGCTCCTATTCCTCTTCCTCCTCCGCCTCCTCCTACATCCTCTTCCTCCTCCTCCTCCTCCTCCCTAATCCGTCCTTCTTCCTCCTCCTCCCCTCACTTCCTCCTACTTCCACTTGCTCCTCGCAACCTCCAGCTCTCCTTCCCCTTTTCTTCTTCTTCTTCCGCCTCCTCCTCCTCCTCCACTCCCACGCGCGCGTGCTGGCGGACGGGGAGAAAGGCGGCGGCCGATTATTCTTGTTCTTTTTACTGTTTGGAATACTGTTAAGATAGAGGTGATGATGATGGTGGTGGTGATGATGTGGATCATGATCATTCTGATTACGCTGATATTGCTGCTACTGATGATGAGGATGAGAGTGAGTAGTTGGAGGGAGGGCGAAAAAGAGGGGATGATGAGGACGAAGGGTGCAGGAGTATGGATGATGAGGAGGAGGACGGAGGAGGTGGACCAGTGGAGAAGGATGACGGATGAGGAGCAGGAGTATGAAGGATGGAACACGTGAAGGAGGATGAGGGTGATCAGAGTGAATGCAGTGTTCGTCAACCATGCTGCAATACACCCTCCCGCTTCAAGGCCACCATCACAAATGTTTACAACCATTCGTATCACCTGCACGCAGCCACCCATTGAACTCGGAGAGACCCCATGGTTCCGCCGTTCAAGCGATATCCCTGTTCTGAAATGGAACCGTCCTCCGTTCGTGCAGCGGCCGGAAGCTGTTCGTTTGCCGGTGAAAGAAGCCGGAGCTCGCTGGGTCGATTTTGTGAGGCGTTCTTTGGCCTTCCGCCATTCCTCGGTCTTGTTCCTTACACTGCAGTCTTGTTCTTTACCTTCATCGAGTTCTCCGGTCTTGTTCCTTGCATTCCTTCCTCGAGTTCGCCGGTCGTATT